TCCGCGTGCGGTCACAGTGCTTGCATCTTATGCATTTTGAGCCTTGTAAAAGGCAGTCTCGCAGCATACCGAGTTTTACCCTTAGCTAGGAAGCCTGCAGTCTGCTGAGCAGGAACATTCCTCCCGCGTGCGTGGGAGCTTGACATGGCGAGAAGGAGCTGAAGTCTGCTAGAGTGCTAGAGCTGCTAAGTGACAATCATAATCACAATAAGTGCTAGTAGTAACAATCGTAAATAGCAGTAGTAATAATAATCAGATTAGCCCCAAACCTGAAGTACAAGCCGGAATAATTGATAATGCTATTTTTTAGGGTCCTCCGTTGCCCCGAGATTATCGGAAGACCCGAAATTCCAAACACACTGCATGCATGCGACGAAACCTGGATGAGTCCATGTTCAGTTCTGACCACCTCAACCCAGAATCGCTTTTGAATTTGGAGCTGTGTAACCGAGAACCGAAAAACTGTTAGAATTCACTGAATTAACTTTATCGACCTTTGAGCACCATGTGGAGCCGCACCATGTCAAGTAGACCTGAATTGCATGGCCGTGTTCGGTTGCAGCCACTTTTCTGTTTCTGTTTTTGTCGGAGAAATCAGGTCCATGAACATGACCCTTAGCAGATTCTGCTACGTTACGATGTGCTGTCCCCACCATGCAAAGTGTCAACATAGCCGAACTACCAGCCCGAGATCTTTGACCTACGCATACAACTTCGGGGGCAAGCGCTGACGCAATGATTCTCCGGCCCAGCAAGGCATTTCTTGCAAGGCAGTGCCTCACAGGAGTCGCGGGGGCTCCGCTGCGAGTTTGTTGCGCCTTTTGCCCTCCAGACGTCGTCAACGGCTGGTGAACGGATGCATGTAGGTTTTAGCGTTCAGGGTCTGGGGAAGTTTAGGGTTAAAGGACAAGTGCTTGTTCTATCATGCAGTCCGTACGCCAAGACCAAAAGAAGAGACCCGAATGCCTAACCAAATCTAACCACTAAGCCCGAGCTGTAAAGCCGAAATAGTAAGCCATAAATCCTACTTGTAGGACCAGCATGGCTCCGTTTGGTCAGCGTGTTAAGGGTGACCTTGTTGCGACTCATGGCATACAATGTCTAGCCTTCGCTCACAATCCGAGACCTTATTCCCCGTCAAAGAGACTAAAGACTAAAGCTGTCACAGATCCGACTTTCTATCTGTGATTCCATCGGAAGTCAATCACGAATCAGCAAGACGACACTGCTTGCAATTGGCATCGTCGGTTATGGAGAGCAAGCTTACGCAGATGAAGGCTTCGCGAATTATAATCTGCCATTGCTGAGGCTTCACATAGAGGGGGTGCAGGCTGGGGTGAAGGGCTAAATAGAATGGAGTTGACAAGCTTTGTAAGTGAACTGTCGTTTGCGAAGCTTGTCTCCCAGGCGGACCCAGGCCTGTAATAACAGGCTAATCTTGCTGGACCCCGGATACAGACGGCTTCTTTGCTCACGCGCGCAAAGGCGTCAAGTGGAGCTATGATGCTGTGCGTGACTTGGATGTCTACTCTGCTTCCGGGCCACTGAAGACTGAAGCCAAGCGCCGCCTTGTTCCGGGCAACATTAGTACTCCTAGTACTATTGTTATTGTTATAGTTCCTATAACCGTAAGAGGGTCAATCAAAATAACAATAAGTAGTGTGAGCAACCCATCACCTACGCCGCTGGCTTCGTCTGCCTACCCATCTTCACAGCCTGTGCCCTCTGAACTATGGTGTTTAATGTGCAGGGAACCTTGCGCCACCATGATGTCAATGCGGAGATTAGCAGAGACAGGGCGTGCCGAGGATCCTTCCGTCCAAGCATTCGGAATCTCCATTCCGAATTTTAAGTGATGCCCTGGGAGTCTAGCCAAATCTCAGAATGTTGGACCATTTTTTCGCGAGAGTTATGGAAAACCCTATAACCCCTAAAACCCTAAACAGTAAACCCTAAACCCTAAACAGCAAACCCTAAACCCTAAAACCCTAAACAGCAAACCCTAAACAGTGAGCCCTAAACCCTAAAGCCCTAAACAGAACCCTAAACCCCCGAACCCAAACCCCTGAGCAGCTCCTTAGCTCCCGTGGGCCGGGTGCAAAATACCGTTGTGCAGCTTACAAGGTAGCTCCGTTCGAGCCACGGACATAAGCGTCAGTTCAACCATAATAACTATTTTTATTCTTACCATGTTTATTACTAGTGTTACGATTATTACTATGATTACGATTATTACTATGATTACTATCACTACTATTATTACTATTATTACTTATTACTACTACTACTACTACTACTATTATTGTGATGGTTGTGATACGGCTTCTTCGAGCGAGGGGCACCTCATTCAGGGGTCCTCGCATTCATGATCTTACCAATCGAGAGTTGATAAAGAAGCCTTGATTTTCTTCTGACGCGCGCATGCTGCTTGCTGCTTACACTCAAAAGCACCGAGACCAACACCAACAGCACCGCCACCAACACCGCCACCGACAACAACAACAACAACAACAGCAGAAGCAACAGCAGCAACAAGAACAACGCCAGCAGCAGCAACAACAGCAGCAGCAGCACCGCCAGCAACAGCAACAACCGCAACAGCAACAGCAACA